CCCCAAAACCCCAAAACCCCAAAACCCCAAAACCCCAAATCTTTTCTCTTTGCAGAAAATAATAGGAATAAAATGGAGACTGGATCGAGACACAAGAGCAAATACAAGTACCTTGATGGTAAGCTTTGATCTATGCTATCCTAACTCTGCTTTAGGTAAACCATTCAAAGAGAAGTTCACTAACCTTCTTGTACCAAATGCCACTGACAGTAAATTCGTGGATACAAACGGATTCTTCACTGCTATGCCTTGGAAAGCCAAAGGAGGTGGTCAACTAGCTATTATGAAAGTAGATGATTACAAAAAGTTCCATATCAATGATCCTATGCTTAAGGGGCACTTGGCACCCATCTCAGCATTTGAGTTCAACCCATTTGTTGATACATTCCTCGCGACAGCTTCTGAAGATGGTACTTCTATGTTGTGGAATATACCAATTGAAGGTCTAACAGAGGATTTGAAGGAGCCAAACGCTACATTGTATGGGCATAGCAAGAAGATTACCCACCTCACCTTCAATCCTACAGCCAGCAATGTTATGCTGACTGCCTCCTTCGACAAAGACATTAGGATATGGGATGTTAGCACTGCTAAAGAAGCATTACACATACCAGATGTGATTGGACAACCAACATCTATCGAATGGAATTACGATGGATCCTTGGTGGCTGCAGCAAATAAAAATAAGTCTCTCTATATCTTAGACCCAAGAGACCCAAGTGGAGAGACTCATGTGGACAAAGCTCATAATGGACCAAAGCAACTCAAGGTTTGCTGGCTTGGCTCAAGCAACAAGCTTCTCACTACAGGAACCAACAAGCAGATGTTCAAAGAATTAGGAGTTTGGGATACCAGAGATCTCTCCAGCCCCTTAAAAATTAAGAAGGATGACAAGATTCTAGAAGTAGTTGAACCCTTCTTCGACGATGACAAAAACCTTGTCTTCACTGCCACCAAAGGAGAGAGAAGAGTCAACATGTGGGAGCTCGCTGATGATGACGAAGTCATTCACAAGATCAGCTCTTGGACAGGAGAGGGATGCCATAGAGGATTCAACCTTTTCCCTAAAAGATTTGTTGATGTCTATTCTTCAGAGTTTGTCAGAGCAGTTAGACTTACAGAAGACTCATGTGAATACGTATCATTCGGACTCCCATCTAAGCAAGGAGCATTCGTCTCTTCCCTATATGGACAGTGCAGTAGCGGAAACAACACATGTGACATTGCAGACTGGAAAGAAGGTAAAAGTGCAGCCCCAGATCTTGTCGATATCAACCCAGACCTTCTAAGTTCACTCCAGCTCAGAACATCAGATGGAGTCATTGTGAGCACAAATGATGAAGAAGAGGAAAAAGATGAAGTTGCTGATCTTGCACCAACTGAAAGCACAGAGGACAACAAAGCAAACTATCTCAGAAAAATCACAAAGTTAGAAAACAGACTCAGAGAAGTAGAAGAAGCTCCAAAGGAAGATTCTGAAGAAGTCAAAAAGCTCAGACAAGATAATGAAGATCTCCAAGACAAAATCGATGAGCTAGAATCTAGAATTAGTGATATGGATGATTCTCATAAGCAAAGAGAGGAAGAGCTACAAAAGATTATTCAAGAGAAGGAGGATGAAATTCAGAGACTTCTTCAAAACCAGACTCAAGCAACATATCAAGCTAATGATACATATCAGTCGAATGAGGTTCCCCAGACTACTGATTCATATCAAGCACAGGATCATCATCAAGAGCTACAGGATCACCATCAAGAGCTGCAGGATCACCACCAAGAGCAACAGGATCACCATCAAGAGCTGCAGGATCACCATCAAGAGCAACAGGATTACAATGCTGAAGGAGACAACTATGCTGGTCAGCCAGCTCAAGAGACTTACAATGAACAGCCATACGATGCCCCAGTTCCTTCTGACCCAAAAGATGATTCAGATGATAACGAGTTTGATTAACCTCCATCATGCCTTCCAAATAAATATTATCAGGAATTTCAAAGAGGTACTGCCACTAAGGGGTTTTGGGGTTTTGGGGTTTTGGGGTTTTGGGGTTTTGGGG